AACCCCAAGATAATTTCATCCCCGAGTCTACGTCAATTAACTGAAAACGAGTCTTTTAACGTATGAAAACGCGAGATGTAAACATCCTTCCCCCTTAGAAACATTCGTCCTCGAATGTTTAATTCCCCGAGATCTATATAACTTTGGTAGAGTCGCCTTTGTAACAACACTACTACCAACTCTCCCTGTAGAATCTCAATAACTCAATGCCACATATGACCACAATCATCAATAACGACAATGGCCTCCCACGACCAATGACAATAACTAACACAAGAATCTGTACACGTACCTTAAGGTTCTGCTGTCTCAATTGGACCCTTGTATGGAGGAGGAAATAAGTAGGGATACCTAGACTTCATGTCTTCCTCAGCCTGCTAAGTCATTTTTTTCCCATAGTTGTTTTTCCAAAGTACTTTCACCGAAGCTACGTCTTTAGTTCTCAATCTCCGAACCTGTCTGTCTAGTATAGCAATGGGAGTTTCTTCATATGATAGCTGCTCTGTGACCTGAACGTCATCAACTGACACAATTCTAGAAGGATCTCCGATACATTTACGAAGCATAGACACATGAAAGATTGGATGTACAAACTCTAAGTCCGAAGGTAAGTCCAACTCATATGCTACATGGTTTACCTTGCATATGATCCTATATGGTCCAATTTACCGAGGGCTAAGTTTTCCCTTTTTACGAACCTTATAACGCCTTTTATCATTGATACCTTTAGGAATACCCAATCGTCAACCTGAAATTCCAAGTCTCGCCGTCGATTATCTGCATAAGACTTCTGACGACTTTGAGCTGCCAATACCCTTTCCTATATAAGCTTAATTTTCTCGATTGCCTGTTGTACAATTCTAGTCCTACTAACGTAGTTTCCCCAACATCAAACCACCCTATAGGCGACCTACACTATCGTCCGTAAAGAGCTTCGTATGGAGACATCTGAATACTGGAATTGTAGCTATTATTATATGCGAACTTAATAAGCGGCAGATGATCATCCCAGCTACCTTTGAAGTCTATCACACAAGCTCGTAACATATCCTCAAGTGTCTGAATAGTACGCTCAGCCTGTCCGCATGTCTGAGGATGAAATGATGTACTAAGACTTACTTGAGTCCCCAAACCTTTTTGGAAGGACATCCAAAAGTTAGCTATAAATTGAGCTCCTCTATCCGAGATAATAGATACATGGACACCATGCAGTCATACTATCTCCTTAATATAAAGCCTTGCATAATTCTCTGCGGAATATGTAGTCCTAACGGGCTGACTTTGTAAGCCTATCAACAATTACCCATATCGAATCGAACTTACGCTAGGTACGAGGTAAGCCTACGATGAAATCCATATTGATTACTTCCCATTTCCAAGTCGGAATCTCCATAGCCTTCAATAATCCACCGGGTTTTTGGTGCTCAATCTTAACCTGCTGATAGTTAGGACACTAAGCAACAAACTCCGCTATATCCTTTTTTATTTCGTACCACCAATACATATCCCTGATATTATGATACATCTTTTGTGGCTCCTAGATGGATAAAATAACGAGAATAGTGAGTTTCTCCCATAACCTACCGACGCAGCCCTGCAACATTAAGGACACATAATCGTCCTCGACATCTGAGGACCCCATCTTTTGTAATTTCAAATGGTGTCTTCTCCTTCTGAGGGATGGTGTCCCTATAATGAACTAACATAGGATCCTTGTACTGGTATTCCTTTACTTCAATTACTAAAGAGGGCGTTTCCGTATCCTGAATGGTAATTCCAATATCACCTGAGTCCAGTAACAGAACTCGAAGACTAGCTAGCTGATGAATCTTATGGGCTATTCCCCTCTTGTCTAGCTGTAAAAATGACAAGCTACCCATAGATCTACGGCTGAGGGCGTCGGCTACTACGTTCGCCTTCCCCTGGTGGTATAAAATATCAACGTCATAGTCTTTAAGTAGCTCCAACCATCTCCTTTGACGTAAATTTAATTCCTTTTGCTTGAAGATATACTGGAGGATCTTATGATCCATATAGATATCAACATGAATGCCATACAAGTAGTTCCTCCACATATTTAGTGCATGAATCACTGCGACTAACTCTAAACCGTAGGTTGGGTAATTCTTCTCGTGCTTTGTTAGTTATCTAGAAGCATAAGCTACAACCTTACCATGATGCATCAGCATACAACCCAGCCCAATGCCTGAAGCGTCACAATAGATAACGTAGCCATCGGTCCTTTCTGGGAGCGTTAGAATCGGTGCTGAAGTTAATCTTTCCTTCAATGCCTGGAAACTCCATTCACAAGCGTCAATCCATTGAAACTTTGCTCCCTTCTGAGTCAACTTTGTCAAAGGTGCTGAAAGGGAAGAAAATCCCTCTACAAATCTCCTGTAATAGCCTGCCAAACCGAGAAAGCTACGAACCTCCGTCGGGATTGTGGGTCTAGGCCAAGTCTTTACTACCTCAATCTTTTGTGTATCTACCGGGATGCCTTCACCGAAATGATATGCCCAAGGAAAGCTACAGAGTTCAACCAGAATTCACATTTAGAGAATTTTGCATACAACTTCCCTTTTTGTAGAACTCTGAGCACAGTACGCAGATGATCTGCATGCTTAGCCCCTAAACGAGAAAACACCAATATATCGTTGATAAATACAATTGTGAACAAATCTAAAAAGGTCCTGAACACATGGTTCATCAAATCCATGAATACTGCTGGGGCATTAGTCAAACCAAACGACATAACACGAAACTCAAAGTGCCCATATCTGGTCCTGAATGCTATCTTCGAAATATCTTCCTCCTTAACCCTTACCTGATGTTACTCGGACCTCAAGTCTATCTTTGAAAAACACTTGGCACCTTGCAAATGATCTAATAAATCATCAATCCTGTCACGACCCTAAACCGGACCCAGTCATGATGGCGCCTATCGTGAAACTAGGCCAGCCGACACAAGCCCCCAAACCAGCTAAACAGTTAAATTAAATCATTTAAAGTCAATAATAAGCTATAAATCCCAAAATATAGAGTAGAATAGAACAGTGTGGAAACAAACACAACTCGACATCGGGGTGTCACCAGTCATGAGCATCTAAAATTCGTAAGAGTATCAGGCACGTGTGAACCTGCACCAGCGTTACTTGATATCTTCTACAGAAATCAAGCACGGCCCGGTCTGGGGAACCCGACGCAAGAATGTGAATATACACACTCAAGAATCCCTCAACATATGTCATGACACTCTCCTCGGGGGAAGGTGCTTGCAAAAATGCGCCTTCCCCCCATCTGCATTCTTTTCTGATCATCTCGAGGTTTTCCTCCCTCACCGATGAAATAATCCTCGACACATGCTCTCGATGGCCTGGAACATTAGGAGGCCTCCCCGGTATGACAACCCTTCTCGAGGCAGGGTACCCCGAGCCTCGCTTTCCCGACATCGGAGGCAATCTACTGGTACCGATCAAAGGAGGAGCACAAGAGGGACTCCCCTTCGTCCGAGGATTAGGCATCGAAGCAACGGCCATGACTACGATAGAATAGGGGGAAGAAGATGAGGATCCAGGCAAAAAAAATTATGAAACAGGGAAGGGGGAGGACTAGCACAAAGCACCAGGATCTGCAGAGGGGATATGCTTATCAAGAACTGCAAAATCGCCGCTTAAGAGGAAGATGAGCAAATATATAGAGGCAAAGCGACAACTGCTCGCTTGCCCAAGAGGGCCAATTAACTTTGGCCGCATTAATGTCACCCTCTCTTAGGGGAGTGTACTGGAAGAATCACCCCAGCTCCCACATGACTAATAAATTTACGGGACCTCGGGAGATCCCTGACGTCATAAAATCGGTTCGGGAGGATCTATCGATTCAACCTCGAGACGTGGTCAGTCTGGGGGAACCGGTTTGTCCAAAGAAAAGACCCCAAAGGGCCGATGCCAGAACGCAAAAGCAAAAAAGCAAGGAGAAGGGTTGACAGAATGAAAGCTCCTTTTATACATTGACAAAGAGGAAAAAACGACTTTACACTATCTGTTTCCCGGAGGAGGGGGGCAACATACGAAGCAAAAAAGAAGGCATACAAAAAGGACTCTGAGACTACTCCTCGTCACTATCGTCTTTGCCCTCATCAGGGGCAATCAAGAGTGCCAATCTTCCCTGTGTTGCACATTCCTCCTTGAGATCAGCTGACAGGTCGATGCCTCTGGCCCCGAGTTCTTCCAGGGTCTCCCTCTTCGCCTCCTCTTTGGCATGCTCAATAGCTCGGATTAGTTTCTGCTCAGCTGCCATGGATATGTCACGAACCATTGTATGCACTGTGGTCGCATCCTCCCGATAAGTCGCAGCATCTCGTTCGGCCTCGGACTTAGCAGCGGCCAAAGAAACAATCTGCCTGCGAGTGTCCGTGAGAAGATCCCGGGATGTCACCAATTCCTCGGCCGCTACCTCATTTCGCTTTCTCAGCCTGTAGATATCCGCTTTCAACTGACTAATTTGTGAGCCACTCTGCTAGACCTATTGGGAGAAGGGCAAGTCAATGAATATATGAATCCAAAACGTATGTGAATATGCACTACAAAAAAATGGGTATATTGCGGAAGTTAAAATTGCAGTTTGCGGAGGTTAGTAACCTCCGCTAATTGCTATCACAGCGGTTAAGCTGTCCCCCGTAGTAACCATCGCCACTATTAATTTGCGGCAGATAAATGCGGGGGTTTCCTAAACCGTCGTGATAGTAAATAGCGGAGGTTACTAACCTCCGCAAACTGCAATTTTAACCTCCGAAATTTAATGCGCGAAAGTAGATTTGTATTTTTAAAATTTAATTTTTTTTTGAGCGTGGGCATTGTAAACCCCTGCAATTTCTTATGTGTACACAATAGGAGCTGCTCAATTTCTCTTTGGGGGTTTTAATTATCCCCATCTACTTTTAAATATATATACCATACCATTTCCCTAATATCAATTGAAATATTTATGCTTAAACCAAAACATTAAAATTAAGAAATATCAACATTTCATTAACCGTGAAAAATACCATGACAGAGTAGTATCATATGTCATCAAGATAAATTAGAACATAGTTAACCGTCTATATTAGTCAGCTATTACATTGTCCTAATACATCCACTTCAATTAAAATGAATCTCAATGGTTGTCACTGGGATTATTATCGCATCTTCTTGCATCCGTCGGTGAAACGGGTCCACTAGCTGCATCACTTGGCTGCAGTAAAAAAAAATACAAGTATTAAGAGGATTTTTAGAAAACAAGTCATAACTGGTTGCCAAGAATTTTTTGGAGCTCTTAAAATACTCATTATAACATTAATAGAAAGAGTAAATAGTTTTCTTGGTTTCTTACTGAAAAGATTGAAAAAATACAAAGAATTTGAAACCCCAAATGCCTATGAAGGTGAAAACTTGGAAAGGGGAATGTGAAATTAGAGATTATGGTATGAACGTATTGCAAACTGGGACTATACAACTAGTGTCTGGATTAGTGAGCTACTTGGTTTCTGGTATATTCCTATTTTCCATTCATCCCAGTTTCCTGCACCTACGACTATTCAACTAGCAAATTCTCTACTTTACAACTGTCCATTGCAGATGAAAACAATGTGTGTGTGTATGTGAATGTGTTCGGATAAAACACGAGACAAAATAAAATTGCACAATATACTAAAAATAAAAGAACTTAGCATTTACCGTTGTAGGAATAGAAGCAAAGATCCCAGCAAATTGTTCTGGTATTGACCCTTCTTCATTATCATGTATGCTTTGAGAGTATTCATCAATTGATTGTACTTCTCTTGGCATCCAGAAGAAGAACGTCCAACATTATTACTCACAATTCTAATATTACCAGGACAAAGATTTGTCTCTCTGAAAGTATTGCTTGGAGTAGCTCCTAATCCCAAACATCTCACCCTTCCAGGATGCTCTTTGTCTAGCACATTACCAACAACATCATTTGGAGAAATTTCAGACTCATCCACTGTACTTTCACTCAATGCTAGCTCAATTTTGTCCTAAACACAATACACATCAAAAAAATCTATTAACTAGAATTAAAAATTGCATGTAAACATTAATCCAAACCAATGCAAATAACATGTACTAAACCGACTGGAGGAAAAATGTAATAGATGTGGATTGCCAAAAACTCATGGATGGTGTGACCAACTCAATGTAAATAGATTCAAGACAACTTATCCAATAACAAGTTTTAAGTCACGTAAATCTTTCAAGGTAAAAAAAAAAAGGCAAACACAAAAGAACAACAATGTTTTAAGAGCCAAAAAGACTGAGGTAAACCAAAATTGACTTATCTACACTAGATGGGACCTGAGACAATGGTTAATCATGGCTGCATTCTTGAGAAAAATAGTGAGGATGCATTCCAGGTTGGATCAACAAAAACTCATTTGCATTATAACTGGGACTTAAATATTTTTGCAATCAGTAGTGATGATTCTGCAAAGAACTTAAATATTTTTTCTTGGCTTTATCCTTACATTTACATATAGAAAAACTCAAAATCAAGAGAAGAAGAGAGTACTGATTCACTTTCAAGTAGAGCTCAAGCCCATTTGGAATCAGAATCTCTTATCAGTAGAAAGCATCATCCTCGTAACAAAATTAACTTCAGATAACACAACAATAGTAGCGGTAGTTTCATCAAGAGATGTCAAGTGATAATAATCCAAGAACTGAAAATTTACAATCTATTGAACACATTACACGCTAAGAAACCTCTGTCATGAATTAGCAACATAAAATGGCATTCCAGAGCTCAGTAGTTTAGCAAGCATATTTGGAACTAGAAAGCTACTGAACTTTCTCAGTACTGGATTGAACAGTAATGATGAAAGGTTTAGAGGGCATCTAATTTACAGGTGATGTTTCAGGGTCTTAATAAACAGGCTGCCTAGATTGTCTACCAACAAGTGCAAATAGATCCACTCTCACCCCATGGGAAAATGAACTCTTTTACTTAATGGAAGTAGAAATCACCAGAAATATCAGACAAAATTCAACAGATATGCCAAGAGCCACAATTAGACTCTAAAGTCCTATACATCAACGAAAGGATAATGATTACCTATTCCATCGACAGTCCAATGATGTGAAGACTCACGTTTAGCACGCTTATTGGATGTTGCTTGTGCTGGTGTGGGATTAATTGGAGGTTGAAATGAAGGAGTTGTCTGTCCCGTGGCCTGAAATGAAGGAGCTGGTAGTGTTGTGGCCTGAAATGAAGCGATTTGTTGTCTTGTGCGTTGAAATGAAGGAGTTGGTAGTGATGGCGCCTGAAAAGGAGTCGGCTGAATGCAAGGAGTTGTCTGTCATGTGCGTTGAAATGAAGCAAATGCAAAATCTAAAAACTGATTTAAACCAAATAAATATTCTATGGTGTTCCTTGGCTTTCTCATCCAAGATTTATCCAAAGAAAAGTATTAACTTTCAAGTGCAGCTGATGAACCTTCCAAAATATAAAGAGAAAATATCAGTTCTCTATTATTAGAATAGAGAATATTAACTATGAAGCAATAAATACATACAACAAAAGCCATCTATAATCATAAACACTACCAAACTTGAAATCCCATATTTGATTGTGGATTATTAATACTATAATATAATTTCTATACCAAAATGGTGATATTAGTTATCCTATATAGGAGGTAAGATAGTTAATCTCAATCGAGATCCCAGGATTATAATTACATGAGATATTCCAGAATTGAATACCACCCCAAGTATTACACCAAAAAATAGACAAAAACTAACCACATTCCATGTAATTAAGTTGCAGAAGCAGATTAATATTTTTCAATCGCAGTACATGCACTTTTAGATTTCATTACATCTTGGTAACATTCATCTCAATGATGAAATAAATCTATTCATACTCAATGTACTCAATGTTTATAATCAACCGAGAAAATGAACTCCAGTTGTTAATGAAGAAGAAGAAGCGAAGAACTACCTGCTTTAGTGGACAAAATTCAAAAATGAGCAAAAGAATCTCTTAAACCAGGTATGTATTATACGATTAACTAAAAAATGCATCATCCAAAATCAAAAGCAGCAAAACTAATTATTAAAAAGCAGAAAAAGTACGATTCTAAATATGCAAATAGCTAGAGTAAAAACAAAAATAGAACTCTTTTTAGACTTAAGAATATAAAACTTATCAACGGAGAGAAAGAGAACCAATTTTGTCTTGGAGAGGGGGTGGGGGAATGTGATATTAAAAAACCAAACCAATTCGTCATCAAAAACCTTTGCCTTTGCACGTTTTGATTTTGTTGAAATTAGGATTTTAATCTCAATCGCCAAAAAAAGAGAACAAAAATTGCACCTGTTTGAACTCGCAACAGAGAACACGATAGAGATGAGAACAAAAATTGCACCTGTTTACATCTGTTTTCTTACCCCCAAATTCAAAATAACTTTTGGATTTGAAACTTTTAAGGTTCTAAATGGACTTGGTCTCTCTGAGAAGGATTAATGAAGAAGAAGCGGTGAAAAAGAAGAAGAAGTGTCTCACAGAGTATTTTGTTGTTGTTGAGGCGGAAGTTTCTAGGGCGAAAAAGTTTGGGGAAAAATTAGAGGGAATGTGAAATAAATTACCCGCTATTATTTTAGGGTTGCGGAGGTTTTAGACCCCCGTAAATTGTATAATTTTTGTGGGGGTTAATATATTGCCGTTCAATTATGCAAATTGCGGAGGTTACTTATATCCTCCGCAAATAAACCTCCGCAATTTACCCGTTTTTTTATAGTGATGGCGTAAAAGCTCAGGTATGAGCAGGGTAAAATACCAGAGAAGCAAGATTGGCCTTCTCCCCGAGCGTCGTCTCCAAAGAGACCCGAAGCTCTCCCAGCTCTTTATCTCCCCGGGCAGAGCGAGCCTCAAAATCTTGTAGTTTCGAAGCAATTTTCTTATGCTCCTTTTCATGACAAGAAAGTTCCCCGCGGAGCCGAAAGATGGCATAGTCATACATCTCCTTACACTGCAGCACAACGAAAAAGTTAGAGAGATGGCGAATGACGTCTGAGAACTAATGAAATACGCGAGGAATGACTATCACTTGCTGCATGGACTTCTCCGCCGCTTTAACGGCACCAGAAATATCGAGATCAGCTTTGTCGATTACGCCATCGAAAATGTTGGCAATAAATTCTCCCCCTTTGGGAGGTCCCAGCTATGGTACTGATCATCCCTCAGTTCCCCTTATGAAACCGAAAAGTTCGAAATAAAGTCGTTCAGTTCGCCGATTTCTCCAAGTGGCAACCCACATTTCAGGAAGGCCTCGAGCTCCGATCCCTCAGGATCAATGCCAACGATCCTCCTAGCAGAAGCTACACCAAATCTGGATGTACGATTTGAAGCTACATCAACATCCTCTTCAAGGATCCCCGGCCTACGAGCCCGGCCGGAGCCAGCTGTTCCGGACTCAGCAACTTCCGACCGGGGTGCCTGCAAGTCTCTCGCACTGGACTTTGTTCTCCTCCTTAATGGGCTTCCATCATCGTCCTCCCCTTCGATATTAGGATTCTACCCCGAGGTTAGAACAGCAGTCTCACCAGTGGCTCGACGCTCGGGTGACCTGGTTTTCTTTGCCGCAGAACGGGCAACGGCTGCCCTGCTTTTCCTCTTCTTGTTCGTGCCAGGCTCCAAGGCCCCTGCTTCACCATCATGGGGCGGCCTCATCTGCATATTCTCGCCAAGACCTGCACCAGCACAATAACCACGATACGCTTTCTCCAAGGGCTCAGAAGGAAACACAAAATACGAAACATAGGCATTAAAGGAACCTCACCGTGATTCTTGGCCACCCAACGCTTCTTAGCCAGGACGGTCCAAGACTGAACGCGGTACGGGAATTTCTCGCTCAACCGCCTGATCCATCCCGACAAATCTAGGACCACCTCCGAATGCGAAGAAGCAGCTACAGAAAGCACAAAGAGATTATTATGACAAACGAAATAGTAGTAGAAAAAAGTTGCTAAATGGAGAATCACTTACATCGGGCGTTCCACCGCACTAGAAAGGGCATTCTCCGGGATGGGATGATATCCGAGGTCCTCACTCAAATAAACCTTCTCAACCATCCTCGGTCCTCCCCCTCGTGAACACTCGTGAAAAAAGATTTTCTTGGACCGATGGCAGAGCTTGATTAAGCCTCGATACAGTCGAGGTTTGTACATTCTGATCAGATGACTAAGGGTAAAAACCTTACCTTCAACCCCTTCGGTGAAATGTCAAAGCATGAACACTATCCTCCAAAAAGAAGGGTAGATATGACCAAGCGTCACGTGGTACCGGTCGCAGAGGTCAAGAATAACCGGGTCGATTTCCAGGGGAGGAGACTCGACGCATTTATTAGGACCTAGGGTGAATGGGTAAGTGTATACATAAAGGAAACCAGCCTTGAAGTCAGTAATATTATCGTCGGGACCGGGAATCTCCACCTCCACTTCCTTGCTCCATCGGCAGTCCTCCCTCACCTTGCCAACATCGGTCACAACGCTAATGTATCGGGACACTTGCTCACACCGGCCCGGCGTAGATGAGTAGTCTCGACATCAAAATCCATTAACGTGTCGAGATCGGGTGGGGTACATTGTTCCAAAGTGGGAATCGATATGGTTTCTTCCTCAAGTAATCGGAACGACAATGCAATGTCGTTCTGTTAGGGAACCGTCCTAGAAGTCCTAGCCATGTAAAATGGTAAAAACCCTTATGTGAAAAGAACAAAGAGTGTCAAATACAAAATTTTGACTCGCGGGCTTGTAAGTGGGGTGAAAATGGGAAGTATCGAGCAACCAGTACATTTATAGGAATCTCTGGGGAAGCAAAAGAGACGAGCCGATGGCAGTTCGTAGGTTTCTCGATTACTGCATCTGACGGCGACGTTGCACGGTTCTCTGGGGCATGGCATTTAATGCTCCTAGACAGTTGACGTCACGGCAATAATGACCTCGAGACGACGGTTCAATATCGTTTCCTATTACTTCATTCTAGGAAACGCTGAGACTATCTGTATGCGGTGAAATCAGGGGATTTATTTCTTGCCATTAAGGTACATTCGGGAAGTCATATCAGCGTCTCGAGGTTGCAGGATTACGATCGAGCTCCCTCCCTCGAGGTTCGTCCGCGACCCAGCAAAGATTCCGAGGATAGGGAATTTGTCCATGACCCAACGAAGGTTCCGAGGACGGGGGATTCTCGAGGCGAGCAGCTAGAATTAGCAAACACTAGTACCATGCCTAGTCGTCCCATCCTCGTATCTTTACATTCACTGCACTCTGTACTATATGGTATTCCCTCTCCTATATAAGGGGAATCCATGCCACTTTGTAAAAGGCTGATGCTGCTCCATTTCTCTACAAGTGCAATAATATCTCTCTCCCTCTCTCTCTTTTCTTTCTAACTTGCTCGTTCTCGCTGGCCCGAGGCCACTTTAATATTTATCTCTTTCTTATTTGTTCTTCATTCTATCGCTTGGTATTGGCCATATTGAGCTTCGTTTGATCATAATTTAGTTGTTATCCCATTCCCAGCTATCTCCGATAGCTCGAGCTCGACCCGGACATCGACCCCGAGGTCCCCATCGACCAGTCCTATATCCGGGCAGCAGGCCCCTCGGTTTGATTACTGCCTCATTTTAGCTTGCATTTCATCATTAAACTTCACACTCTTAGCATCAACTGCTCTAACAACTAGCATAAAAAAATAGATCACGTATTTTTAGAATTCCATTTACAAATTTAATTGTTGTTACCATTTTCACGGTAAACAAGGAACAATAATTGGATACTGTAACACAAAAACCAGGACAAGAAATAGGCAGCCCGTCTGCAAAAATTGAATCTTTTACTCATTTTTCTTCAGATCAAAAAGTAATGTAATAAGATTCATTGTTACCTCTGTAGAGTATATTGCATCAACTGAACAAGATTTATACCCCTGAGTCTCAGCAGATCTCCTTGACTCCTTCTAGAACAAGTAATGAGATCCTCAAGTACAACGTCATTGATTGTCAAATCTTGAAGCAGCTTACAATTTGCAGTCAAAGGTCCACAGAGGTTTGTCTATATCTTAAATGTCAACTCTATTTATTTTCTTTCTGACTGATGGTTTGACCACGCAGGCTCCCCAATTTGATAGGAATTCCTTCGATTGTTTATTCTATCTTTGACATTCAAAATGGAGAAATACTTCAGCACGATGCTAATGGAATTAATGATTGTGGCTGCATAAATGACAAGACACTCGACACCCAGTAAAATGGGATAAAAAGCAGCAGAGATCAGGTCAAAAATATTTCCTTGACTACTTCTGGAACAAGTAAAATTTCCAAGAATTGCAGTCAAAGGTGCATAGAGGTTTGTTTAGTTGTTTATATATCAAATGTCAACTCTCTTGCTTTGTTTGATAGAGGTTTGGTTATTAGATAGGAATTCCTTTATTTGTGTTGTCTGGCTTTGGCATATTCATAATGGAGAAAATACATCAGCAAGATGCTTATAGAATTTAATGATTGTGGTTGTAAAAAAATGACAAGACGCCCATTTTCTTATTCTTCTAGTCATACGAACATAACATGTTAAGCTAGAATTATTTTCATCCCTCTAATATTATACTGGACATGAAACTTCCCCTAAGTTGGAAAAATAGAGACAGTTTTGTCAACTTAGAGGAAGGAAAGAGATACGCAATACCATGGCAACATCTTGACAAACTTTGCATGAAATGCAAAAACTACATTTTGAAGAGCAAAAACCGTCGAGATATATGGAAAGCCATTGACATACCAGTACACTTAATAAAATGTCCTTTTAGTTACTGTGGTTCAATTAACTCTTTTCTTATTAGTGTTGGAAACTTGGAATGTCGAGAAGCCTAAAATAACATAAAGTGTTCAGACAGACCCTTTTTCAGCAAAGAAACAAAAGTATTTCTTTCTTGTTTGTCTTGTTTAGGTTGGAGTTGAATTCCCACCTCAAAGGCAGGAGAAAGAGCTGACTGACTTTGCCTTGCCCATTCTCCAAATAAAGAATAGATTTTAAATCTAGTTGTCACCTCAAGATTCCTTAATTTTTAGTCAAGCCTAAATAGGCGTTCAATGTTTGCTTTGACTCATTAAAGATATCTTTCACAAACTTTGTAAGATAAAAATATGAATTTTAACACATATTAAAGTGCGTTTAGAACTTGCACTTTGATTTTAAGCATGACATAATATTTTTATAATTATCTCAGAATATATTGACTCCTTCTAGAATAAGTATTAAGATCACGAAGCACAAAAAGTCATTGATTGTCTCATTGACGGTAAAACCTTGAAACATCTTAACAATTTGCGGTCAAAGGTGTGTAGTGGTTTGTTTATATCTTAAATGTCAACTCTAGTGTTTTTTTCTAAGACATTTTGATCTAGCAGGCTCCCTCATTAGATAGGAATAGTAAGTTTTATTGCGCTTTGCACGGTCGTGAAATATTTTATTGAATTTAGGAAATAATCTTTTTCTATATTTCTACATTTAAAAATAAAGAATTTTTGAAAAAAAAAAAATATTCTTAAATTTTATC